ATAAAGGTCACGTGCGAACTTGCGAAAGAGTGTTCAACGCCCGGTATATAACCGAAGCCCCATCCAGCCATGTGCCACCCGGGGGGTTCCTGGGGTCTGAGCTGGCTGACATTTTGGTGAGCGGAGGCAGCTCTCCGCTCACCTCCCGCGGCACGCGAAAATGGCTCCGTTTTGGGCTGTTTTGGGGCTGTTTTGCTCGGTTCGGTGAACGGTCGCTTTGCAACGCTGCAGCTTGTTCGAACTTACATATTTACAAGCAAAATGACCCAAAACCATAAGAAAACATGCTGTCAAGCAGCTGTACATGCGGGTGTGAGCGACGAACGGTTCGTTGAACGGAGTTGTTGCGGGTGCGCGACGACCGTTCGTGACATCACGTCACTTATTGGTCACGATCTAGCCCTATACTAAAATCAGTTAAGATCCATGTTCATGATATTTAAAGCAGTTTTACGCTGGTTGTCAATGACCTATGACCTATCACAACCATCAAAGCTTAGGATTAGTATTAACGGTGTTATGGTAGGCAAGTTAATTATTATTAAAATGAAAATGTATTGCTGCATCTTTTCAATAGAATAGATACCAATAAGAGGAAATGATTTGTTCACTAAATTAATCTTATGAATGCTTCTCAAGTACAGTATTATGAAGCTGATGTGACCATATGTACAAAGAACTTCATATGTTCAAGCTCATAACTCTGCCATTTTATACAAGTGCCTCTGAAGTATGCCACTATTAACTAAAGAGTTCAAAAAAAAAATCAAAAACAAAAAAGACTTTTTCTTAATCAGTGCGGCAGTGCAATTCTATTTAAAAATAAAAGGGGCACCAAACAGGCATTGCAACTCTAGTCAAGTCTAAAACTCACAAACCAACTTTAGAAAAATGCTTAAAAGAAAGATGGATACAGAGTAGATATTTCCTATTTACTCAAGCCTATATGAAGGTTGACTTTGTATCAAGTCTCAGGCTTCATTGGCTAGACTGACTTTTCATACCACTTTGAAACCCAAGGTGACGTGCAATGACATACCAAATATCCCCAAGCAACATGCCTATATCTGACTCATCAGGTGTTATTGCTTCCCACTTTGGGACCATCAAAGAATACAAATCAAACACATTAGGTGAGATCTAGTTTTTATCAACACTGTCAGAAATGGTAAGCTTTTGGAAAACTGAAACCACAGATGGAGAAAATTCATCCCTTTCATGGCTGACTAACCTGTAGCTAGATATTCAGAAACTTAACATGGAAAAGGCCTTGTGTTGATTATTCAAAATGATTTAAGAGGCATGTAGAAGTTGTTGAACAATATAAGCAAGGAAGATTATCACATCTTCTGCCTGCTATAATTTCACACACCAACTTATGGTGACTTAGATATCTTGAAAGTTTGTTTCTAGTAAATGTATAACCAGATTTACACTTAGAAAAGGTTGTCATGATCAAAATTTATAGCATCAAAGCTTAAGATGAAAAAAATGCACTCAGGAAGTGTGGTATGCAAGAAATATGGCTTCCTACCAATTAAGCCATTGAACATTCATTCTGAAGCAAAGAAGCACATAAGTATTGGAAAGATAACAGGTTGGAGAGAAATATCAAATTTTGGAAACAAAAAGTAATGGAAAGATATCAACAGATTGGAAAAAAAGCAACATCGAATTTCGGAAAAAAAAAAGATATATGAAAACCAGACTCCTCTTAGCAATCTGGAGATGAAGCTAGTAAAGATGCTAGACTTGAATGCAGATTGGTTTCTTTTACAACGGATTTTTATTTCCTGCAGAATATCAACTTTAAACTATATGAGATTCTCCATAAGTTTGAGGACAAACAGGAAAGAACTAAAAAGAAGTTGCAGAGAGTAATGCAAAGAGGTGAATAATGAACTCAGACCTGATCAGTTAGAGCAATGATGCAAGCTGTTGATGATCCTTGAGCTTTAGTTCTTAGATAAGCTTTCTCCAACACCCTTAACGGATCAATGGACCCTTTAGACTCTTCTTCAATTGCATCTGATGCATGTGACATAAGTGCTCTAGAATATTGTCCTGCATCAACACCATGATCAGCCCAGCCACCGACACCATCTGCTACACCAATAGCTTGCTCATCCCATATAAAATGTGCATCCTCACCACCTGTTTCCTCCTTATCTGGGTGTGGCAGATAACAAGATCCGGACAGCAGTTTCAATGCTCTGTTACTCGGCTTTTTCCTGTGCAATGCAGCTAATTTAATGCTTAAAGTAGACAAATAACCACTAATATTGACATAAATTTCTATCTTTATTATGTGAAAAGATAGATGAACACAAACTTTGCAGTAAATGTACAGAGATGGAAAACTAGCTTAGAAAAAACCTAAATTACTACAGCATCCTTTGCACTTCCAAACTCAAGGAAAGAGTTTGCATCTAACCAGGAATTTTCACAACCTTACTCCAATGGCATAGCAATTTTTCATCATCTAATTGCAACATGAATTGTGTTTTGGGTGTCCTTTATGATATTTTAAGCACATAGTTCTTAAAATTCTAGCTCCGACATAAAATTTATCCCTCTTCAGTCGCTAAATTGGCCGAAATCATGCCCATTGGCTGCCTAGTCTCTAGTATAATAGTGTTATATGATGTTCAATACATTAATATCGTAAACTGAGAAAATGACATGAAGTATCATATAAACATGTACAAATCATCAAATGCTGTCTCAAAATGACAATATGTACTATCAAAAGGTTACTTTAATTTTTTTTCTATGCAACCAAAAATTTGCACAAAAAATAGTATCATTTCAGCATGCAACTTGAATAAATCTACTAAATCAGAGTTGTAAATGTGTATCACTAAAGCTCAAAAATTGTTTGTAAGATGACATATCACATATCAATATCGACAACTGAATACCAACAGGATAGAAAAAGATGCAGGGCAGCATACTGGTCAGAATCAGATGAGCTTGAAGAATTATCAAGTTGCTCTTCTTGTGGAGACCCACCAAGAGACATGTCAGAAGCTGCTCCAGTAGAAAATGATGTGAAGAATGATGAAGATAACACCTTAATGCCATTTGGTGAAAAAAGATTAAAGCTTTCACCGATTGCACTGGACCAGATATGCCTGTAAACTGCAGTAGAATTTGAAAGTTCCTGAATTCTCAGAGTCTTGCATGATCTACTGCAGTAATCAAAGTTTCCATGTGAAAAATAAGCATCAAAACTCAAGAAAGAACCAAGCATTTTCCAATTCTGATGATGTGTAACCCATTCAGCTCCACCAGGTAAAGAATTGCAAGAAAATGCCATATTCCTCTCAAATAGGACACAAGACGAACTTCGAGTGGACTCGGAAACCAGCCTACCGACGTTATGTATGCAAGAGTACCAAGACGCACCAGTCAAAGAAGGAACAGAAACCATGCGGTAGAATGTTCCAACAATAGACTCTGCTGTCGGGCGATCATTACTGGAAAAAGCTCGAATGCAGTCAACAAGACTGGAGAATGAATGTGATTGAAACAAGCCCGAGTGTCTCTGCCTGTACAGAAGCTCAACGGAGAATCGAAAAAGTTTGCTTGGAAAATGCGCTGGCATCTTAGACGCCTCAAGCAAAGTATAAACCTTGGTCCTCTAAGAACTGAACAGCGAAACCAAAGATAACCTAGAAAGGTAAATCTTGAAGCTCATTATCCATCAATTTACTGATTCTCGTAGGAACTATGATGGAAATCCTGAAAAAGAACACATTTTTGCCCAAATTAATCCCCCACAACAACAAAAATAATTCTGATATGAAACACTAGCTTCCAAAAGAAAAGGGATTTTGCTGAACTCCGATAGAACGGAGACCATGAAAACCCTAAAAATGACATGAGGCTCCAAAGAAAAGAAAAGCTGCGTCGCAACAGAATCCCTAACATAGAGCGGCGACGAAAGGGCAGCCGAACATTAAAAAAAAAACTCAAATATTATCGACGAAATCCAGGGGAATCAGCACGCGACATCATTAAGAAAGCAAATAAAACAAAGAAATTCCAGAAAATTTTTCACCAAAGAAAGAATTCAGAGACGAACCTCGATGAAAGCGGGAAGCGGAAGAGGAAAACAGAACCCGAGTGAAGGCTGAAGAGGCGTGGAGGAGGAGGAGAGGATGCGGATGGAATGGAATGACACAAAAGGGGGCGTTTGCTTTGGGTTTAAGCGTTGAAAGCGGGAGCGGTGGAGAGACTACAATTAATGTTTCGGAGAGCCGAAACTTTTATGACTCGGACCGGACCGGTTCGAAACCGATTGCTTGGGCCGCTAAAGTAGCCACATGGGGGTCTTTTGAAGAATTCTTCAGTGAATTAGGCCTCGTTTTAATTAAAAAGAATACTATAAAGTTCCTTTGTGCATGAAAGTAAACACTATATGAGATCCACGGGTTGGATTAGTGAAGGGCGAACCGGAGTCAGTATGGAAAAATAAGAGTTTGGATTTGGACTCCTCGATATTTAATTAAGTTTACATTTGAATATATAGAGAGTGAAATTTACAAATCCCCTATAAGTTACCATTCCCAAGTATTTTAGCTGTTTCCTTGACCCCCACCTCTTTGAACATCTGCATAGCTATCTATCATCATCTTGTATTCAGAACTGAAACGAGTGACAAATTAGTTATGGACAGGAATGTAAATATCCTAAAATGACAATTAGCAAGTACCATGATATGAGTCGAAAGATACAAAAAAATGCTCATAATTAACAACCAATATTATACATGAGTTGAACACGGAAAGAATAGCAACTTTAAAATCTGAATCAACATAATAATAAATGGGTTCAACTATAAAACTCTTGTATGACTCCGCAATCAAGAACCAGTCTCAATATTTTGTACAAATCGTCAATGACTTGGAGTGACCTAATACAATCTCAATATACCTATCCCTACCACTTGATATCATCAAAAAATAATAAGGTAATGATTTGCATTGTCATATATGATACGATTTTGATCAGTATGAATCAATCTGACTAATAACAAAAAATCATGGAACATGGTAATCTTCCCCTAATCATGACAATCAAACTTACTATTTACAACGTTGATCGTTGCAATGTTAGAAAAAACATTGCTCGAGTTACTACAGAAAGAAATAAGTGAAGTTCCCAAATTGAAAGTTCTCCCTAGCAAACATGTTGAGAATATACAAACTTCCTTAAATGCAAGTGCATTAGGCATCATCCACACAACATATTCCTATATACAACATTATAATCAGAACATGGAACTGATGACAAACACACATATGGAAGTGTAATAACAAAATAATGATAACAGCCTAATCAATTAACATGCTTCGGAATAGAGCAATGCAATTTTCACCCTGAAAATTTTCAAGAAAACCCACTAGAAGCAGGTAGCATAAGAGGGAAGTTTGTTTCCTGTCCAATTTTCTTTAAGCTCCACAGGTGCGATAAATCTCAGCTCGCATTAGATCAATTGGTGTATGTTCAAGTGTATAACGTTCCGGACTAAGATAAGCACCAGTCTTCTCTAGAAGAGCCAGGCCTTCTTCCCTACTGTACCGAGAAGAATATAACTTCAGATACTCGATGTCCTGCACCATAAAAGCCAAGTTAAGAACAAGGCCTTTTGAGTATAAAAATATACATTTTACAAGTGCAAGGAATGCACTATCTGCTTCAAAGCATGTGATCTCTAAACCAATTTAAGGGACATTCTTCTTAGTTCTTACAAGTGGGAGCTTGCATATAGATTGTGCAACCTAACAGAAATACCAGAGAAAACTTGGGAATAACAAATCTGCTTGGCTAGTTGGCTGTACACCGAGCATTTTGAAATATCCAAGGGCAAAATAGAAATCATATAATACATTTATTACAACATAATAGCACAACCCTAGTCACCCACAAGAAATATTGTAGTTTTACCTTGCCGACATACCACTTAGAGAGCAGTTAACAAAGATTTGGAGAAGTTTACTTCTAAGGGGTTACTCCTTTATATGAGTGAATAAGGGGAATATGCTGACCCCATTGTAAAGAAGATTGTAACCAATTAACCATGTTAAAAGCTACAGGATGGATGGAAACTTAGACCACCATCCCCCTAACAAACCAACGAGAATGACTGAGAATTCGACCTAATACAATCTCAAGTGGTTTTTATTGGGTGGGTTTTAGCGTGCGGGGGATGGTGGGACAAAGAATTTACCTGCATGCCACTGAGAATTCGTTCTAGCCGGATTGATGCGATTGGTTCGTGTGACGGAGAGAAAACCTCACCAGGATAAAACAGAACTCCATCTCCAGGAGGAAGGCCACGTCGAAATTTTATCTGCCATGAGAATTTGCAGTCTAAGTTGGTTAAAACATGATATAAAGTTGGTAAAAAATTCTTCATTATCAGTATCACTGTTTAGATCATACTTTTAATATGTGTAGTAAACAGGAGCGATTAATGTTTAGATTTTATACGAGTGTAGTACTTTTTATACAGCTCTTACATCAGCGGCAAAGAGGATCATGGAACCCATTGATATTGTTGAAACAAAGCCTAAGGCAAAGATCATTGTGAAGCCTATGGCCAAGATCATTATGAAGCAAGCCAGATGTCATCATGATTTTAGGTATTTTTAGACCGACAAATTAGAAGTGGGAATAAGTGCTCCAAAGGAGGAAAAATAACAAGCCAGTTGTCTTTTAACAGTCAAATTGGCTTTCCATCACATCAAGAAAAAAGGAATATGAAATTGTGAAGGCTAATCACTAAAAAGAACTCTTTTGCAGACAAAAGGAGAAGAATTTACGGACAAGTGATTGTCGCAAAAGTGGGCTTCTCTAAAATTAACAATCTTTCAAGTGGGCTAATCACTAAAAAGAACTCCTTGCTTCCCTGGTTTTTTAAATCTCAAATGACAGATTGGTCGATCGTAGACCGTTGTGTACCACAATTAAACAAACAAGATTAACAACATTACTGAGAGAAAAAAAGTCCGAGTAAGAGTAGACATAGAAATGCTAAAGACGAGAATAAAAGTCAAAAACAACTGACACATACAAAAGTATAAATGAAGATGAAATTCTGTACAAAAAGATTAGAGAGCAAATATAACAAAACCATCGTCCAGGAAAATGGTAAAATAGTATATCGAGACAGATTCTGTTAATGTAGGTACCTCAGCACTGGCGACAAGTGACTTCTCATAACAGTTGGCACCCCAATAAAGAAAGCCTGTTCCACCTTCTTTCCAAACTCTCCACATCACTGCACGGTGTTGTGTTCCACGCATCCCAAGATGCCAGTTTGGTTGAGGATCTGAAGGTCCCATGCACACATATGTCCACCATTCCTATAACAAAATTAATTGAAATCACATAATATGTGAAATAAGGGTACAGAATCAACCATTTATAACTCAAACCCTTGTGCAATTATGAACAAGCACTAAACAAATCATAGAACTTAAATTTCTAGAGAATAATACACTGCCTAAATTAAGCTTTGATTCAAAACTAACAAACCAACGAGAATGACTCTGGAAACTTAGACCACCATGCTAATGTAAAAAATAGACCTCAGATGTCAATATGCTGGGAAACTGATTAGATTATAAACCGCTCCACGATACAAGAATCAGAAATTATTCATGCAAATGAAACATACAAACAAGTTGCTCATGCATCAAAATACCAAAGTACTAAGCATGACAATCTCAGTCAAAATATGCAAAAGATAATCTACATCTATTTGATCGAAGAAGCAAGACTGACTTTAACATTTCAAACTTCGACCGAAGATTGTTGTGTGTGTAATACAGAGTATCCATCAGTATAATATCTAATTAAATGTGCCTCTGGACATGGATTGTAAGACATAACCTCTGTGGTTAAGAGTGTTATTTGCCACCTGAGGCAAGGAAAATCACCTCTGCTCATACATGAGAAGGGGAGGAATAAACTTTTCACTCTTTAAATATTTAAATACAAGTCAACACCAAACAGTCTATTCAGTAGCAATGCACATAAGCTGTGCACTAGGCCAAACCAAGACAAGAACATGAATCCACAAAGGATAGCAAGAAAATAAACAGTTCAATTAGGATGCATATTTCTAGGCATGAGAAATATATTCAAATCCAAGATGAGACAGAAATGGAACTAGCAAAAAAGAATAATGCTAACTAGCAACTCAACAAGCTATTTTCAGCCACAATGTATCGTCATCGAAGTACAATGAACTTACAGGTGCTTCATGTAGTTGTTTTAAGAGTCCTGAAATCCTTGATTGTAATACATAAAAATTAAAAATTATTCCCCACAGACCACAATTGCAGGTTCTTCTAATCTCAATATATAAGCTATACAGAAAAGGAGTAATATAAGAAAAGAAGTATCAAAACTGTGAAAGAGAAACCTAGATACTTGATGGGAACTCCTCAGACACTATGCATCATTTAAAAAGCTTTTGATTAGGTTCCAGCCAATTTCAGCATTATATGGTTTTAACTCAGTAATCATTAAGTTCAAAGTCTGGTGTGTATATTTATTAAAAGATTGTCACTATTCAATAGACCTGCCCAGCCTCCCTAAGGCATATATCGATGTTTGACGTACCATCCGAAATGGTACAAAACACAGTACGTACCACCAGGTATCATCCAATACATGGATAACCCATTTCCGATGGTACACTGGAAAAAGATCAGGTATCGGCCAGTACAGGTGATGTATCAACCAATACGATCAAAACTCGTATCGACCGATATGGGTCAATACCAATTGGAATTTGACCGATAGTGTGACCATTGGGGCTTTAAATCCCCTCCTTGCCCCATCTTTCACTCACTCTCTCATTCTCACTCTCTTTCTCAATCTTTCTCACACTCTCACCTATGATTGAAGTTCCTAATCGGCAATTAGTGGTTATCAATCCATTGATTTGGATAAAAGCAGGGTTCTCAATTTCGATGTGTACCGGGAGGTACGTACCGGTCCGAGAGGATACCGGTACGCGGACCATCCTCTACCGTGCAATACCATTGTTTTGACCGGTACCGCCCCGGATTTCGACCGTTATCGAGGCATATCGATCGGTACGACCTAATATGGTAGGTGAAGGTATTTTTAAGGTTTTAGGGTGTACCATCAGTACAACCTAGCGTACCGACGATATATACCGATACGTACCGTACCGAGTACGGCTCGGTACGTCGATACAGACTGGTATCTGCTCGGTACGTCGATACAGACCGGTATTCAAAACCCTGGATAAAAGAGGGATTGGAACTCGAGATCTAGTGGAATTTCTCTCCAATTTAAATGTATTTAGCTTATTTCTATGTTTTATTTGTCATTTCATATAATTAGAGGCGTATTAATGCATATTTACAAAGATTAAACATGATTAAAGCCATTCTCTTCCATTAGTCTCAATTATAGGTCTATTGTCTTACATTTAGGCCCAAATGGATGATATTTAAGGTTAATCACAGACTTATCATATTTATGCCTCATATACACTCTATTCTTAGTTAAATACAATAAAAGTATCATTAAATTAGAATACAAAACATAAAAAGGATATTTTGTGAATTTCTAATCATTTTCCAACCTTTTTTCTGAAAACCAATACATACCAGCATACTGACATACAGTAGACTGGTACCCACGGATATGTACTGGTCCGCTAATGGACCGATACCACTAGTCAGCATGGTATGGCACTCCTTGGCATATAGCGTCTTTAGCACACTATTCTATAGACATGCCAGCCTCCCCAAGTGCAACTAGCAAGTACACTTCGCAACTTCAATTCTTTCTTTTCTCTTCTGCTCACTTTCTCCTAGATCCAACTTTCCATAATTCTAACAATTCACCAACAGTGGCCACCATGTCTCCAACATCAATCATTCCACAATTCAAGGTTCAATATTTACTTGACAAACAAAAATCACAAATTACACCAACAGGTTCTTGGAACGACAACCGAGGTTCATAAGATGGGAATCAACTTAACAATCAGTGGCATTGGAATAGGATTGAGGATCAATCATGGGATCTCAGAATTAGGTTCAGAATTGGCCATGGGACCTGGCTTTGAGGAGAATGATGAGATCAGACCAGTGGGCTGTAGATTGGCCAAGATAAATTAAAATCATATTTTCATTGGCCATATGAGTTAGCGCAAATACCTTGTATGTTTCCAGACCATTGTCCTGTTCTTTTTCCCTTTTCTTCTTTTCCTTTTTTTTCCTTTGTTTATTTATCTTCTTTTCTCTCTTTCATTTCCTCCTGTTTTGTGCCAGTTCCAACCAGTGCACAAGTTCCAAAGTCAACATTAGATGCTAGCTGCTCCCATCCAACCTTCACATGGTAGCACAAAGTTTGACCTCTAATATTTACCAGAAAAGAGCCTCAATCTGCAGAAACTATTCCTACATGAATGCCTGTGCAATGCTTTCATTAACCGGAATGTGGAGGATCCAGAAAATGAGTCTGAAAGATCAGAAATTTACTTTTTCCTCTTTTTATTGGGAGAGAGAATTTAAGCATAGGTACAAGATAACTTCTCCAAAATTTTAACAGTCCCTTGGTCAAATTGCATCAGACATCATCTTACTCTGATATAGATAGAATTTTTAACTAAATCAATGCCTGCTTTATCAAGCATACGGCATAGCATTGAGGTAATCTCCTGCAGGGTTGTCCTACTGCACATGTTACCGTGCTAGGACATGCGACTTAATCAACCATGCTAGCATAGTGACAACAAATGAGAATTTTCCCTCAAGGACGGTTGTTTCATGATGTACTATGCCAGATGGTATACGTTGGTCTAAGCAAAGACCAGGACGTGACCACCAGTTTCATGCCCTATACTACAAACCTCCATAAATAGTCAACACATCTTATAAAAGCAAGGTTCGTAATTTCGTACCGTACCGGAGTATCGAGTTCAACTCGGTACGGTATGGTACAAGTATACCAAGCGATATGTTTTGACGTACTGCTCGATATATATATATATATATATATATATATATATATATATATATATAGATAATAAAAAAGTTCAAAAATAAAAAAGGGGCTACGTCGTCGAGGCGATATCGTGTCGTTTCTTCTCCACTTCTCCCCACATGGGGAGAAAAAAACCTCGTAGCCTCGGCAACGTCGCCGAGGTTTCTTCGTGGGAAGTTTCTTCTCCCCACGAAGCCTCGGCGACGTCGCCGAGGTTTCTTCTCCCCATGTCGAGGCTTCTTCTCCCCGTGCGGATTAGGAGAAGTCGCCGAGGTCTCCCCACGAAGCCTCGGCAATGTCGCTGAGGTTTCTTCTCCCCACGCGCAATAGGAGAAGTCGTCGGCGACGCCGAGACCACATCGTCTCAGACGAGGAGGAGGCGACATCTCATTTGTGGCATCCGACAAGAGAGGGCGGCCACGGATCAAGATCATCGAGGAAGAGCGACGCCAGATCTCCAGGTGTTAGGACCATTTTTCTGAGCTTTTCTCCTCCTTGCTTCCCCATCTCGCTCGAGCAAGAAGGTCGCGGCCGCTGTTTCCCAACCAGCGGACTACCCCTCATAGCCGCCCATCGGCGACGCTGCCCTAGCCGCACCACCGCTGCCAGCCACAGCCGGTCGTGATCATTCAGCATCGCCAGCGGCTTCCCCTACGGTGCGGTAGAAACAGAGTATCCTCTACTACCGTAGCCGTCGGTCTCCCCTATTGCTGCGAGCGCCAGTTGCCTCCACCACCGCCACTGCTTCCCGGCCACTTCAATGCCACCACCCTCCTTCGTTGCCGAGCCACCACCTCTGCCAACCACCGTGCAACGAACGCCGCTAGCCTCCCAGTCGTCAGGCCCCCTTGCTCTGCATCCGCAATGACAGAAACAGGGCAACTCACCGGTTGCCCTTGTTCCCAACCGTGACATCGCCGACTCCTTCTCCACCACCGCCGCTGCTTCCCGGCCACTCGACCCCCACCGCCGCCCCTGCTTCCCGGCAGCCCGCACCCCTGTTTCAGCCCGCCGCAACCCTGCTTCCCTTCTTCCCCACTGCCACTGCAAGGCAACTCCTTCTCCACTGCCGTCGCTGCTTCCCGACTGCTCGATCACCGTCGCCCGCCTCCCAACCTCAACCCTAGGGTCTCAGTCACAGTCGCAGGTTGTCGTAGCCCCTCATTGCAACGATTGCAGAAACATAGCTTCCTCTGTTGCCGCAGTCCCCCGTCAATCCCTGCCACGACCCTCGCTGCCTCCTTCTCCACTGCCGTTGCTACGCTCCGGCCAGCGACCACCGCTGCCGCAGTCGCCCTCCAGCAGCACACGCAACAACCGCAGCAAGTTCTTGCGTGGCCCTGCCTCAACCCGACAACGCACGCACCGACTCCCTCTTCCCAACCTCGACCGCTTCAACGCCGCTCTCCCTTGCCACTACTCTCGGCCAGCGTACCAACCCCCTCGTCGTATCTACCGTCGACGACGCTGGCCCCAACCACGCCACCATCGCTGCCTTCTCTTGGGTCACAGCCGCAGTCCCTCGACCATCCCTCCTCGCGGTGATCAAAATAAGGCAACCACAATCGCCGTAGGCACCGTCGTGTCCTCAACTGCACGCGAACCCTCGGCATCACCAGCGCCTCCTTCCGTAGTGCGATAGAGACAGAGCAACGTTACCTTCCATCCGCGCCTTCGCAACCACTGCAGCGGCGAGCCCTTGGCAGCGCTGCCCCTAGCCGCACCACCATCGCTGCCTCCCAGCCCTCAACAGCATCGATCCCTCCACGTAGCGACCACAGCAAGCATCGCTGCCTCCCACGCAGCGAACGCAACTACATCCTCGCAGCAACCCTTCATTCCCACAGTGCTGCCACCGATTGCATCATAACAGCAGCACCGAGTAGGACAATGATTAATGCTCTAGTCCCGACACTAGAAACCGGAGTTGAGATTACAAATTTGCAGTCTTACGCAATGGCCACCGATAACTCAGTGAAAACACAAATGGAAACATTGGAAATCAGAATTGAGAACCGATTGCATGAAACACTTAATGATTTCAAAAAGAGCCTCCTGGAGAGCCTCAACAAATTTCAACAAAATGGGGACTCAAGTTCTATGTTGCATAGATCTAGAAATACAAGCGCCAAAATTTTTCAGACTTCTATAGTGTTAGAATATCAGAATAGATTTGAACGATTGTCAAATCAAGCCAGAGATTGGTCTAAACAACAACTGATGAGTACATTTATTAAAGGGCTTAATCTAGATATCCGGTGTGAAGTTAAAGCTCGTCAACCCCGCACTATGATCGCTACGATATCATTTGCACGTTTACATGAGGAAAAAATCAATAGGGAAAATCATGGAAATAGAAGTGACAACAACCAGATGATCAGCAAGCCACCCGCCCCATCTATTTCCAACCAAAGCCATGACACCCGAAGACTAACCCAAGAAGAACTCAAGGAAAGATCAGCAAAGAATTTGTACTATGATGAAAAGTGGAGTATAGAGCACCAATGTAAGCAAGGGGAACTTCTGATGATTGAGCCAATTGGAGAGGAACCAGAAGCAGAAGAGTAGGACTCCGATCATGAAGGTGTGGAAACTAATGAAGATATTGAAGCCATAACACATACAGTGCATACATTGGCTGGCTACGCTAACCCACAAACTATGAAAATCGGAGGAACTTTCAAGCATCAGCCTGTCACTGTTTTGATTGGTACAGGTAGCACTAATAATTTTATGGATAGGAAAGTTGCAGCCCGATTAGCTTACCACATTAAAGCCTATGATAGATTCGAAGTAAAGATCGCTGATGGACGGATTTTAACTTGTGATAGGAAATGTTCAAAGATAAAATTGATTATACAGGGCCAAGAGTTTCTTGCAACGATTACTACACTGAAAGACCGACTTGTTGCTTACACTATCAAAAAGTGGAGACCATACTTACTTGATCAACGGATTGTGATGCGTTGCAGATAGCCTATGACTGAAGTGCTAAAAGATAAGCTCCCCGAGTTTGATGCTGCTCAGCCTTGAGGACAAGGCTGATTTGAAGAGGGAGGAATTGTTAGGATCCTTTTTCTGAGCTTTTGAATAATGTTTATTGAGTTTGTTTTGTTTAGTTGTTTATTGAGTTTGTTTAGTTCAGTTAGAGTCGGATAGAGGTTTATTTAATATTTAATTATTATTAAGAGTCCAAGTCTTGGTGGACTCTAGGTGGAACTCTATAAATAGTGATGTAACCCTTTCTTTTAATCAATCAATCAATGAAATATTATTAAGTTTTTTGACAAACCCTAGGAGGTCGATCCCCTCGAAGTGATCAAGGAGGTCGATCCCTTCGAAGCGATCATTCCCTTTTCTCTTCTTTCTTTTACGATAAGACCTTACGGTCTTATCACATTCTCATTCCCTTTTCTCTTGTTTCTTTTACGATAAGACCTAAGGGTCTTATCTTCAGGTTCTCCCTTTTCTTCCTTCTCCCTCGGCTAATACCGCCCGTTAGCGGGCGGCGACGGTCGAAATCGACCGTCACCGACTGATTTCGGGTGGTAACGGGGCTGAAACAACCTCAATCGACGGCACCGAATGGTATCATTCGAAATTAAAAACTATGTATAAAAGTTCATGTCCTTGACTTCAATATTAGAAACCCGTGGCTCTATCCATAAAGCCTCGTAATACTTCCAATCAAGGTTCGCAATACCGTACCGTACCGGTATTTCAACCTAGGCTCGGTACCGATACGGTACGGTATACCGAGCGGTACACCCAGGTGTACCGAGCGGTATACTCAGGTGTGCCGAGTACTGTAGCACTATAGCACTCGGACCTGGGCTCGGTACCGATATGGTATGGTATACCGAGCGGTATACTCAGGTGTGCCGAGTACTCAGGTGTGCCGACCTGGGCTCGGTACCGATACGGTACGGTATACAGTGCTACAGTGCACTCGGACCGGTAACAGGTCCGCATACCGGCAACCGATCGGACCGGTACATACCACCCGTACCGGGCGGTACAGTTCGGTACTGCAGACCCTGCTTCCAATATATCTGACCAGCATGTCTTGGCCTTTGCAACCTATCCCACACATTACCGTGAAAAATTGGTAAGGCTTGGAACATTGGAAGGAATCAAAAAGGGAAAGACACAGGATTTCATCATCATGGCCCACAAAAAACTAGTGATCCGTGAATGGCTTGAAGAAAAAGAAAAGGCGCATGAAAAGAAGACAGACCAATGTTATCATTGGACGCTCGACGCTCATCTAGGCCCCAGGCGATGGAGGCCCATGCGCTTGTGATGCAACCCAGGCAAGCGTTCACATGCTTGGGCTGGCCACTGGTTAGCCCAAGCACTCACGTAGGGCAACTCAGGTGTATTGAGCCCAGTCCGGTCAGCTAGACCAAACCTAAATCATATCCAATGAACCAAATCTGAGTTTGCCTAAAAGCCCGGTTGATTTGACTAAGCCCAATCGATTCAACTCAATCAACTAAAATCGCTTAACCAAACCCCCCCTTCTCCTCGCCCCAAAACAGACATTTGTCTCCCTCTCTCGCTGTGCACGATATATTTCCAAGCCCTAACCTGATTGCTGCCGCTTCTTCCCCATCGTCGTTGCTCCCCTCTGAGTCTTTCCTCGGCTTAAGCCTTCCTCCACTGGTCTCCCCTCCTCAGCCTAATTGATTCGACTCGATCAATTAAACACCCCCCCCCAACCACCCAAAACTCAACCTCGGGGAAAAAAAAAACATATGTGTATCTCCCTCTCTCCCTGTGCACGATATGTTATTAAGCCCTAACCCGTTGGCTGCCACTTCTTCTCCATCTCCTCAGTTCAAGCTTTCCTCCACCTATGACCAAGTTAAGGAACACGTAAGATGTGTTTTTAATAGTAGCAGAAATAAATAAGATGAGAGAAAAAAAGAAAAGCATAAATAGGAAAAAGCAGAAAAGGAGAGAAGAGGGGAGAAGATGAGAAGAAAATATAATTAAAAAGTAAAAGAAAAGAGAAAATAGAGGAAAATAAATATTTTCATAAAAATAAAGATAATAAATTTTATTAATGACAGTTCTAAAATACTAAAATATATTTGAAGTATAATATATACATGTGTATATTATACAACAACCTAAGAGAACCACATCCTGAGGCAGCGAATCGACTATAAATCATGCCACATACCCATACTCATCACATACCTTACCAAACCATGATCCAAGTGACCATAGGATGTGCTATCATTAAAAATCCATGATTGCCTATTTATAGAAAATCTAGTCATTTAGCGAGTATTTTGCTCAAAAAGAGAATGTACAAGTACTTGTGGAAGTAATATCATTTGATTAACTACAAACCTCCACAAGCAACTATTTTAAATAAATTTTCACTAGATCAGCCAAGTGCCAACTATTAATTGAATCCAACCTCATGGAGCAAATAGTGCTAAGGTATCACAATGAAGTCATGGGAAATCAACAAATATTAACGCCAAACAAAAAGTCTGATTATGCTCAAGGAAAAGGCAAACAGATCTTTTGGACAGCTAGCTCAGATATGAAGATTCAATTACCTCTCCATTCTCTGGCTGTAGTTCGGCAGTAATATCATTCACTAAGTCCTCCCGATTACCAAGAACCCACTCACTGCAAGAGAAGAAATAAAAACAGAAGAGTATGCTTAAGATAAGGCATAACAATTTGCAGTAACTGTGGATTATACAATGAGTAATTGACTTATGTAAAATAATCAAGGATGAATCATTCACATTTCAATACAAATCAAGTTGCTCAGAATAAACAAAAACCACTCTTATAACAGCTTCATTCATGTACCCATCTCTGAGAAAGTCCAAGTGACTCGAGCATAACAATTTAATCACTGTGATTGAATAAACAGTTGAACCAAACTTTAGTTTATTTGCTCTACTTAAAAGATTGAGCATATGTAGTCATCTAATGACTAGAAAAATCTCAAAACCAACTTGGTTCCAGATCCATTATGGTAGTCAATTAAGCAGTTCACAGTCACAGATAAGTAAAATTAACTTAAAGCTTGTTGCTTGCAAGATCATTGCAGAACTTTAGATCTACAAAAATGTAGCCTAAAGCCATGTGGAACTAGCCTAGATCTACAAGGATCAATGTGACACCATCATGAATTTAGCCTAGACCTGCAAAATCTAGTGCAAATATATCTGCATAGGTGAAGTCTAGATATATCAAAATCTAGCCTAGATCCAAGAAAATCTTCTGTAAATCCATCTTAATCAAGCGTTGCTCCTCACATCTCTAGTCTAGATCTACAAGGTTCGGAGCTTGATCATGGATCTAGCCCCAAATTCATAAAGGAAAACCTAGGGTTCATGAAATAACCATCTCACAACAGAAACCTAAAGCTAAACTTCTTGCAACAAACTAGAGAGTGATTAGTATATAAGAAAAGTTTTGAATTTCCTTTGAAAAAAACCCAGTTCAAATCGAAAGAATAAGGCTTCAATTTGTGAGATAGAGCTTCCTTCAAGAAATTTGAAGTTTGGGTGAGCATTTCTGTGAGTTTGGGTGACGATTTGAGTGAAATTTGAGTGGGATGAGAGAGGGAGTGAAGAGAGATTCAGGAGGGTAGGAAACAAGGGGAAAGTGCATCCAAAGGTCCAAGCAGACCCTTAATGGGTCTCTGTTGGATCCAGTGAACTGGCTCGAAGACTGGCTCCAATGGTTGAAAGCCATGCAGTAACCATGATTCTTGACCTAAACTGGATGGTAGGGGTTGTTTTGAACGCCCCAGACAAGTTTGTCCGATCCACGTGCCAATTACTGGCTGGATTAGTAAAATACCAGTCAGTACATACTGGTCCGGTTGGTATTTCAAACACTATTAGTTGGTTTAAGTTTTTCCCCCGAAAGTTGTACACAAGAATTCAATAGTCCTACAAGTACCGTAGTGTCACGGACAAACTTCTAAACAGGATGTTTGATGTAATGCTTATGTATGTCCATGTCTTTTGGTATGTTCATACTCTGCACAACATGTAGAGGGACGGCCGAAGGCTTAATAGTTCTATTTTTAGTTAGGTTGGTGGCCGCTTTAGGCTTGTAAATAAAGGTTGTGTCATGTGGACACGTGCGAGAGATTTTCGGTCTGTAATGGACCATTTTAACCCTTTGTTGTACAACTGTTCAGAGCTTGTAAAGTCTGTTTGTAATTTGCATTGTCTATGAAATGTTTTCGGAGATGTTTGCTTGTGGATCCCGAGTGAGGTGTTTTCTCTATCCCGTTCTTTCTTTTGTGGGTCCTAAGGGACCATGGGAGGCTTCGGGGAGGTTGACCTTTGCGGACGGACACGCAAGGGTGCCGCACGACTTAGGCAAAACCAGCTAAGTCCGTGACAGTAGAGCTTTGTAGTTTTAGCATAAACAAAATAGTAAGTAAATAATAAGCACAAAGAACTATACAAATTCAATCTAGTAGTCACTTAACAACACTTTGCCATTCAGAATCCCTATCATGGCTGAGAAGTTTTAAAATAATAAAGTAGTCACATAAAATGGAGATGCCACTGTGCAACGACCTGAAAATAGCTGACAAAGCAAGACTATGCATTGATGTAGATAACAGATGAAAGAGAAGTAAAACAAAATTGAGTTGTTCATTTTTCTGACAAATATATTTATCGATGTATAAACTTCATTTAGTTTTTCTGCTATATAATTATATCAAATAACAGATATACCATCAGCTGTGGCTGGAAAAAAGATTGGTACTCCAAGAAGCTATGACAATCGGAAAAAGGAGTGGCATGTACCTTGTACAAAATATTTGAGTATGAGGGCGCAAGTATTTTGGAACTTTAACAAAAGCCTCAAAAGTACTTGATCCATGTGCATCACTAGGTCCTGTGTAAGAAATCATCACATGAATGAAACTGGATCACCATACAAATGCAAATTATGATTAACATAGCTTGAAAAGGTTGTACCAACACCTAAGACTGATAATCACTCAAATGAACCATGCTCTAAAAAAAAATCATCTGCAAAGTTAACTAGAATTTGGATGTGTTTCATAAGAATAAGAAAAAGACAAATGAAACACTTTTCATAAATTCCAACGGGAGAAAATTTCATCACGAACTATAGGAGTTGGAGAAAACAAATCAAACAAAATGAACATTTACATTATTACTGATTCCAAAAAAAATATATGAATAACATTAATAGATGATACAATTTAGCCACAAAAAACATCAAATGGTTAATCAGTTTACATAGATATCATCTAGCAGGAATGAATGATGGCAGCATCAGTGACTCTCAACTTATTAAATCTAGATTCTACGATAAAAGCTAGAAGTAGATACTTTACAATTAACGTGAAAAAAGAAAAGGTAAGATGCTCCTTCATAAACCATATGAACCAGATGGGTTAGCGGAACCAACCAGATTTTCAATATAAACCACTTTTTAAATATAAACTAGCTTTTTAATTTATGTAAAAGATAATAATATTCTTAAATTTTTTAAATCAATTAAAACCAAAATCAAGAGTGTTTCAGAAATATCAACATCAAAGATTAAAAAAAGAAATCGTTGCAATTTTTCCCCATCACTTTGCCCACTTCTCTCTTTGCCATGTCTATTTATCATAGAAGAGTTTGTCAAGGAGAAAGAGGAGGAATTGAGAAGAAAGTAGGGGAAGAAGAGCAAAGGAAAAGGAAAAAATGAAGAGAGAAGAAAAGGAAAAGGGAAGAAAAAGAAGAACATAGGAGCAGAGAGAGAAATGAGGATAAAAAAGAAGATAAAAGAAAGAAAAGAAACAAACCAAGAAGCAAATCAAGCAAAGGGGAGCAAGAAGAGAATTGAAGGAAAATGAGATAGGAGAAAAGAGAGGAGGAAGGAAGAGAAGAAAGAAGAAAAAGAAACAAAAAGAAGAGAAAAAGAAAGGAACAAAGAAAAAATTAATTATGAATTATTTCAAGATATATTTTATTAAATATGTTGTCCAACCAAACGATTCACTGGTTCAGTGACCCAATGCACCTAAGGGCTGAGTCAAAGACCAGTTTGAATCTGATACCTATGCTTAAAAATCTGGCAATTGAATTTATCAGGACCATCTTAATAGGCAAAGATATCCTATGGCCGATACCAAAATGAGATGTACAATTGTAAATTTTTGTCCAGAGTAGGAGAACCGCTCTCCATAAACATAATCTAGTCTATGCTCTGGAAACCTAGAAAGGCTCCTTTAATTTGTTCTGAAGACAACCCATACGCATGGTGTGATAAATCTTGGGCAGACACATATGGATTATTCTAATATGGGCTTTATGAATTACGCAGTTGCTCAATCAGCATTGCGGTCAAAGAGAGGATTAGGAACCAATTTGAAAGAGCATATTTTTACCAGAAAACTAAACACTAAATAAAATATACTTTTCAAAAGAATAAGTTACAAACTTTACCGATAATATTAATTATGATTTGTTGAATTGACAAGTACTTTAACTGAATTATCAATAACATCTCTATGCATTACTCTGCTGTAACAAGAAGCTACAAATTATTAAATAAAGACTTACCACAGTAATAAGTGGTCAAAATGCGTGCATCAGGTGCATAAGATCGTATGTCACTCGACATGCTACGAATCAATTCATACTGATCCGAATTCAGAGGCTGAAAATTGTAAAAGAAAATTTAAATCATTATAAACGAATAGCTAATGGCATAGCTTGACTAAGGCACTCAGATATATGTAATGCAACTTCAATGGAGAAAATCAGCTGATAATAAGATGACAAGAGTGCTCAAAAGAGACTCGTTACTAGTCAAACAAGAAGACGAGCAAAATGACACACCATTTAACTATAACAGGATCATGGCTTATATTTTATTCACAACAAGAATTATATGATAAAGAAAATTTACTGAACTAATAGAACACTGTAAAACATAATGGTACCTCATCCCATAGGTAAAAGTAAGCTTTTCGCCAATGAGGCTTTGACTTTAAGATTTCAACATCCTTACGCAAAGAATCTCTTGCCTCATTGCTACTGTTACATTATTAAAACAATGACAATTTGTTAAAACAAAAAGGACAGAATATTAGTTCTACATAGTACACATACAGATAAGCTTCTGGCATACCATGAAAGAATGGGAGCATAAGGTACAGCATATGCAGCTAATCTTGGATCTGAATAATATTCTTCAGATCTTGGATGATCAGCTAAAGAAATATAAGAAAAAACTCAGTAGTGATGCAATATCAAAACGCATTCTTTATTTAATTGTTTCTAGATCTTGACAATGAAGTGCCATATATTTGAAAAACATATAACAATATAACAGAGATGGCATACCAGGCCAAGGACAAGTGTAAGCTAAAATTCTCATGCTGTCACCCCATCTGCAGAAGTATGGACTTATCCTGTACTGAAGAAGCCATTTGAAGTGACGATCTAACGCATCATACCATCCCTCACTCCCATGTTCCAGAGCAAAGCGGTCCTCGATCACAGTTTCAGATATCTGATTTGTAGTCAAATACTCTAAAATAATATTCCATTTATCGTCAAACACACAGCTTACATTATTTAATTACAAAAACCATTCTGATTCTGGAATTATGTCATGAAAAAGATTCACCATCCAGATATTTAATAGTCAACCATTGTAAATTTAAATAACAAAACAAATACGAACATTTGGACAACTCTCTATCAGCAAGCCTTCAAGATCAGCCACATTAGACATTCCTAGCAATTTTTCTACCAAAGCTTCTTTAGTCTTCCTCTCCCTCTTACAGCATCTCTCTCTCATTGAAAACTAATTGTATCTGGATAAACTTTACTAGACATATTCAAACCATATAAACAATTTGATCCACTCACCATCTCCCTTTGATATCAAAATAATTTCTTATCCTATATTCCTTTGTCAAAACATATACACAAATGGGATAATATCAGGTAATACAATAGAAAAAATATAAAAACTAAAAATATATAAAACAAGCAAAATTATTTGTATTTTGTTTGCCTTGATTAAAGTAAAAATATCCATATTTAAATTAAAAAATAATAATTTGCACTCATAAACGTGGATAAAGTAGCTAATAAGATGACACGATATAGGAATTAGAAAATGCATCGCAAACATACATCAATACTAGTGCAGTACAGAGTTCTAGGGTGAATCGAGCAAATTAGTGTATCTACAGTACAATAAACATTTCCACCAAGACTGCTTGTTTCAATTCAATGTTACACAATAAAGAAAGGATAAGAAAACAAAAATATTTAAAAAAATCACATGCATAACTAGGTGGAAATGAACTAATTACAACACTAAGGTTGCTTCTTGGCAACCTAGGTGGAAATTTAAGATTGTGTACATTGACCCCCCTTCCCGCATCCCACATTGGTGGAAGTCATCCTTTTTATTAATGAGCTATCAAATGAAAATATCATACGCAACACTTACAAACAAGAAAAACTAGTATTCCAAGGATACACCAAATACAGCTGGAAGAGAAGGTGTTAATGGAAGAGTAAAATCCCAAACTGTGACATTAAATTTCATATTGATTGAAATGTTTGTGAATGCATCTTCATCCATCATGTCACATGATCCATTATCTTTGTAGAACTCCTGGAATACCGGCCATAGAAGAAGTCTCTTCAAAGATGATGTAGCTGATTTCAATCTTTCTGCCTATTGTAACAAAGATATCATAAAAAATTACAAAATGATATCCATATTCAGTATTGCGGAAATAATTTTAATATCAGAAACCTACTACTTCATCCAGTGGTTTTCCATCAACAGGTTCAACCATTTCAAGGCAGCTTTTAAGTTCCCTATATAGATTGTACTTCTCAGCTTTAGATAGCACCTGTGCTGACATTCTGCAATTGAGAAGAAAAAGTGGTATAATAATTCTTTAAAAAGTCTGATGACAACTGAGACAACATATTCTTAATTGCTGCAAATGAAAGAAATAGTTGTTTGTCATTCAAAAGCCACATGTCACCAAATAATTTCACTAAATAGCATAAACATGAATTGTATAGGGTATGTTCTAACTCTGCATTTGCCTTCAAAGCAGTGATAAGAATCTGCCCTTCATAATGACCAGGTGGTTGTCCAGCAGGAACATCAACTGAGACCCAGATGGATGTCGTTTCTCTGAAACAAAGAATGACTATATTATGATGGAAAGGAATCACTGGAAGAAATACAGTTCACCTGGGTCATGATAGTAGAAAACCAGATCAGGTTATTTATATGAAACAATACCCAGGAAGTAGGTTTATTTGAGCGATTGGTAGATCAAGAGGTACAAGAGCATCAGGCACACCTAGGATGGGCACCACATGCCGCATGGTCAAGGATTGGCCAAGTACCAACCTGCAAACAATTGTATCAGCAGTGTTGTAAAAATAAGTTCAAAAGAAGACCAAAGACTTGAGATATAGAAAATGCAACAAAAATACAAGTAAAGCCTAACCTATCACCAGAAGCAGAGCAGAGATCAGTGCACTGAATCTGCACAGTGCCTGCGAGCCCTGAACTGGCCCATGAAAGTTTGGGGCGTAAAGCAATCTGAACACTTTCTCTTTCATTTCTTGCCGCCAAAAGAGAAACCTTTTATCCAAAAACACACAGAGGATCTGCTTATAAATTTTTTGGAGGTAATAAAACAAAAAAACACCATATATGTAACACTTCAAAAAAAAGGGAAAAAAAACATAACCTTGTATCAGGGGAAAAATCAGCTTGATGTTGCAAGTTAATTTTTAGTTTCAACAGCCTTACATCATATTAACTTTCATCATAATTCTACAAGGACAAAATGGAAGTAAATAAGTCTAACTCAATTTGAATAGATTGAAGCTTTATTTTAGTTTGCTTTGATACAATCAAGTGGTTGAATTAATTACATTTGAGTCAAATATATAGCTTCATTTTATTGCTATATAAAACCACTTGAAGCTCCTTAAGTTTACCTAGAAGGATAAAAAATTCTATGGAAAAATTGGACAATTGACACTAGTAAAAGCCGAATATATAAGATGCTTGTCTTTTCTCAAAAAAAGAACCTATTCCTGATCAACTAAAGGTTTATTAAATTTATTGCTGGATCAAGCATCCAATTGCTAGCAAGTGGAATCACATGACATTAGCTTTTGCCACGTACATTGCACATCAACTATATCTGAATCCTATTAAACCAAAAATTATATATAAGGAAGAACATACCATAGGATTATACCAGTGATTTCAATAGGCGCTCGGCAGTGATTGAAAGAGGCGCTCGGGCGAGGCGAGGCGAGGCCCGAGCGCCTCGCTAATGTCCCAGGCGGCGCGCTTCAAACAGGCGCCGCCTGGGCGCTCGCCCGAGCCCAGGCGTTGGGCGCTTCGGGCAAGCGCCTGGGTAAACCAAGTGACCGAACCAGGATTTTAGGTCTAGTTCGATCCTGGTTCGGTTATTAGTTGGTTCAATCGAACCAACTAAACCGATATAACCCTTACCCAACCCTAACCCACCGTCGCTACCGCTCCCGATCTCGCTGCTTATCGCTGTCGCTGCTCGCGCCTCCCGCGAGCCCAATCGCGAGCCCTCCCGCTGCTCGCGCCTCCCGCGAGCCTTCCCTCTGCTCGCGACTCCCGCTGCTCGCGCCTCCAACGAGCCCTCCCGCTGCTCACGCCTCCCGCGAGCCTTCCCTCTGCTCGCGACTACCGCGAGCCCTGCCACTGCTTGCGCCTCCCGCGAGCCTTCCCTCTGCTCGCAACTCCCGCGAGCCTTCCCTCTGCTCGCGACTCCCGCGAGCCTTGCCGCTGCTCGCGCCTCCCGCTCCCTTTCCCTTTCCCGCCGCTGCTCGCCGCTGCTTTCTTTCTCCGTCAGGCTCAGTATACTCTTAATATTAAGTTTATTTGAATTTTGAAATGATTAATTTTCATTAGTAGATTAATAATATATTATTTTGATTTTAATGTTATTAATTTTTATTTATTTGAAATTATTGCTAGGTTTCAACATAAATGGCAAGTGTAGAGAGCAACTCAATAGAGTCTCCAATGGTATCAAAAAAAGATCCTGCATGGAAGTATAATTATTTGAAGGATCCGAAAGATCATAATGCAGTGACTTGCATATTCTGCGATAAGACTACCAGAGGTGGTATTTTTCGTGCAAAACAACATCTAGTAGGAAATTTCAAGAATGCAGCAGCTTGCAAAAAATGTCCACCTGAGGTAAAAGAAGAGTTGTTGAGTTATATGAATGAAAAGAAGACACAAAAGAATGAATCTTACGGGAATTTACCAGAAGACAATGTTGAACATCTCAGGGATGAAGAAGAAGATTATTCTATGAGTATTAACCTAAGTGAAAAAAGAGTATACGACAAAAAGGGAAAAGAAATTATGAGTACTAAGAAAGGTAAAAAAGGACCGATGGATCTATATATGCTTCAAGGATCCCAGAAACAACAAGGGCAAGCAGGAGGCTCAAAATTTAGACAAACAAATATAAGTGATGCTTGTGATAAAGAAATAAGAGGAAGAACAATATAGCACATTGCTCGCTTCTTCTATCAGGCTGGTCTTCCCCTTAGTACAACTCGTTTAGACAGTTTTAAGGCTATGATTGAAGCTACTGGAAGATATGGTGCAGGATTAAAACCTCCAAGTTATTATGAGATGCGAGTTTCATTGCTACAAAAATAGTTGAATTATACAAATGACTTACTAAATGGTCATAAAGAATCATGGGCAACACATGGTTGCTCTATTATGTCAGATGTTTGGACTGACAGGAGGCGCAGGAGTATAATTAATTTTATGGTTAATTGTTCTTTAGGGACTATGTTTGTGAAGTCAATAGATGCTTCATCTTTTGTAAAATCTGGAGACAAGATATATAATTTACTTGACAACTTCGTGGAAGAAATTGAAGAACAAAATATCGTTCAAATCATAACCGACAATTAAAGCAACTATGTTTTAGCTGGTAATATTCATCTTTTGATTTTGTTAATTATTTTATCTTTAATTAAGTGTGTTAAACTCTTAAGTCTTATCTTTTTTGTTATCCTTTGTCTAAGGTAAATTGCTTGAATCAAAAAGACAACACTTATATTGGTCTCCATGTGCAGCACATCGTATTGATTTAATGTTGGAGGATATTGGAAAGATCTTAGAAATCAAGAAAACCTTAGAAAGGGCAATTTTTGTTGTTGGATTTCTTTATAATCACATTGGGGCTTTGAATATGATGAGAGAATTTACAGGGAATAAAGAATTAGTGAGACATAGTGTTACCCGATTTGCTACTTCATTCTTGACATTACAGAGCGTGCATCGTCAAAAACATACTCTGAGAAATATGTTTACCTCTGAGAAATGGGTGACAAGCAAATGGGCAAAAGAAGCAAAAGGCAAGAGGGCTGCTGATATCATCTTAATGCCATTCTTTTGGAATCATGTAGTTTATATATTAAAGGTAATGGGCCCT